TGTGAGATAGCTGTGATGTACTCCTTAATAGAAGAGGGTTTAAGTCTGCCCTGGTGTCACGAGAGTAGAAACTGTAAAATGTTCTCAATAGTAGCAGACAGAAACGGAAAGTTGTTAGCTGTAGCAAATGAGGTGAAGTGCTTCCATTTAGCACTACAGGATTCCCGTTTAGTCGGTCGTAGTGCAGATTGGAGAATGAACTGTATGTCAGGGTGAAGATTGGTCAGATTCAACTGAGGCCTCGGTACCAATATCGATACCGATGGCAACACTGTATCAGGGAGTTCAAATGTAGCAGAAGACAATGTTGGAGATGTTGTGTCAAATCCGATGAAGTTGTCAGTACTGATGCCAATCCCCAAAAGGAAGAGGGGAAGGTAGGTTGGAGGATCGAGGAGAGGTTTGTGCATCCCATCAACGCTGGTGTTTGTCAGTGTCAGGATGGCAATGTGCTTGTTGGTACCATACCACGTTCTGCCTTCAGTTCCTTTGTTGAGGCTGTTGGAACTGTTGGCGTCCTACATACTATTGGTAAGGTTGGTAGCAGTAATGAGAATGAGGCCACAGCCACTTACGTTGGCGTTGCAACGGCGTCTCCATACAATGACCTGTAAGGTGAGCCTTATGAATATTTTCGCTTGTTGTCCGTTTTGACATGGAAGAGCCCGGAGCCGTTGAAGGGCATGTTCTCCACCTGTCTTTTAGTCTTGTCCAGTAAGTTACCCGAGTGTAACCAGGCATGGAGACAAAGGGCGAGGGCACTGACAAGAGCCCTAAAGTCACAATCGACATGATGTCTCACCGTATTAAGTTGTTGTATAGAAAGCTGCATAGCCTCGCGAGTGAACATGCAGGGAAGCTCCCTATGTTGGTCTGGGAGATTTGAGGTGAGGGACTCAATCTTCTGCATGAGGAAATATTGATACCTCGCCATGGTGGTTCCGTAATTGGAGATAAGAAGACCAAGTCCCATAGCAGCATAGATATGATGAGACATCATGTCAATCTTTTTGCCTTCCTTATCTGTTGGAGTCGAGTGCTCTTTGTTCTGTCAACCCTGGGAGGCCTTGATGACAACTGAGTTTGGCTTGGGATGTTTAAGAATGAATGGGATATCTTGTTCCTGAACCTTGTACATCAACTCAAGTCACCTGGACGTCGGGTGCGGCTGATTGGGGAGCTGCCATATAGCCATCATTGCTTGCCTCAGAGCTGTAATACAGGGCAGAGCGATGGAGGATGAGTCCTCTTTTCTGATGATGTCATAGATATTGATTTGGGTTGATGTGATGTTGAACATCGATCTCCAAAAACTTCGTCATCTTAGAGAGCAGCATAGCGAAGCTGCGGTGAAAGTCTCCAGGGGAGCTCAGACCCTGGGTCGAGATCACAGCATCTGGCGACACCGATGCCTGTTGAAAGTCATCCAAATCGGAATCCGAGTGGTGCAAAGGACTCGAGGAAGACCGAACTGGTGAAGGCAGGGGTCAAGAGAGGGCAGCCACAGAGGTCGATGGAGAGTCCCTCAACTCCGAATGAGGGGTGGAATGATGAGGATGGATTGGAGGCCTCGGGTAATAACAGTAGGTAAGATAATAGTCCCATGGATAGGACCGAGATGGATCGAACTCCCCATATGGTAAAGGGACCCAGTTGCTGTGGGAGGGTGACTGGGCTTTGAGGAGCCCTCAGAGATCCCTCTGGAGATGTTGGCATCAGTGTTGGGAAATGGACAGGTGGCAGGTCAGTATGCGACCGAAGTGGAGATTCTCGGATCTTGCCATCCAACATAGATCCTCTAGCCGCAGGGTTGGAACAATCAGGACTAAACAGAGCCACAATGACGATTCGAGATGGAGACCCTGGCGGAGTCACTTGCACGACCGACTGAATGTTGGGTTCAGTCAGAGCCAGGATTTAGGCGATGATCGGGACCAAAGGTGGAGTGGACACCAATTCCGAGCAGGGCACCTTGGGATACTTTTTGTGCCTGTACTCTGCCTTGTCAGGCTTGTCCTTCTTGGGTCTTTTGGACACAGAAGACTCATTGGACCCGACATGCTGCTTCTTCTGCTTCTGCTTGTGGTGAGAAGAGTGAGAGGAGTGCTTTCCTTCCTTAGATGTAGCATCTCCATTAGATGGATGAGGAAGAGCAGCCTTAAATGGACCTGTCTTGGTGGTCTCTGCCAAGACCTTTTTAATGGCAACCAAAGCCTGGTCCCAGAGCACCTTTCGCAGATGGTTTTCCCAGTTCTTGCGGGCCTGTTTGGTAAAGGAATAGCAGTGGCCACATTTATCAATCCTGTGACCTTCTCCCAAGCATAGAAGGCACAAGTTGTGTGGGTCAGTGGCAGGCATTTTAGCCCCGCACTGTGAACACTTGAGGGAAGCCACCCACTGTGTCATCGAAGAAAGAGAGAGGAAAAACAGCGAATGACAGAAGAATTAACAACAAGAAGAAGAAGGATAGAAGGTTATATATGTGTGTGTGTGTTTGGGGAGAAGGGGAAAAGGGTAAGGGGGGAAAGTGATGTAAATGGGGGGATTGGGTGGGTTATAACTTGGATAAAGGAACAGAAAAAAAGGCTGTAAAGTCAAGAGTATAACAGTAAAACTTTTTAGAATATAGCTACGAGAAGCAAGTTGAAAGGCTCGAGACATGGTGAATGGCGGTCGCAAGAAGACTGGTGAAATGGCGGGCACTCTGCCCATTTATACTACGGGGGTGAGGGCGTGGAGTTCCCGCCAAAAACCATTAAAGCTGTTTAATCTTCCCAGCAACAGGCACTGCACAGGCACAGCACCCATAATGTGTGATGCACAGAGGCCACGACGAAGAATGGACAATATTCCTGCTGAGGTGGATTGTGTTAGATGCTCATTTACCAAAGTATTCACTAAGGTCAGAAGATTTAGCTTTTCTGAAATCCTTGGAAAAATCAGCAATTTGCCTAAGCTTCTTAGTGACAATGATATGAATACTATTTGGCAGTTTGTTGGATTCATGTCTTTACGTAAAACAAGAGGGGCATCAGTTAGCATATTGTTGAAGAAGAAGTCAGGACGAACCCTACGCAGCACAGGTAAAAAAAATATTTAAAGACCTATATCATGGTGATGAGGTCAGTGAAGAAAGCCCACTTCTTTGCCAACATTATGCCTGCACAGAATTGACCAGCAATGCTTCTCTGCTCTGTGTAAAACCACTTTCACTAGGATATTGGAGAGAGGGAGGCAACACAGTTTGAGTTCAATTAGCTTTGTACTTTGTGGATATAGTTTCTCAGATTTGCCTTGACTTGGACTCTAATATTGGGACAGGTCAGAGTGCTATAACCTCAGGAACTGTTGTCAAGTTGTTTAGGATTATTTTCAACTTGTACAATTTGAAGATGTGGACCAGGTTTCTAGAGTGGTGAGTGCTACCACTTAACCCTTGTGCTTGACCCTTTGTATTCTGGGCTAATTCAATTGGCCAAGGATGAACTGATGCTGTGGCTGACAAAAATATTAATGCCTCTTTGTGAAGCAGTTGTTACCTATTACTGCTTATAAGAAGCAGTAAGAAAAACTTTGTTAAAGAAATCTTCTTTTGGCACTTGAAATCTATTTAACTGTAAGACAGTCTCAAATGCACAATCCTTAGCTAAAGTAATTAAGAAGATGGAGGCATTTCAGCTTCAGTTGTTCCTGGGTATAGTGATTATCTATAGCCAATTCAATTGGGCTTTCAGCCAGGATATGGCAATGAGATGGCCTTAGTAGATTACCTACACTGGAATTGGTCAGGGAGAGTGCCAATTCTCCTGGACCTCTTGATGGCTTGATAGCAATACCATTTAACCATATTATCCTACTGGACCACCTCATGGGGCTGAACCTTGGAGGTACTTTTTGCAATTCTCTTTGCAAACCAAGAGAATTTTAAAGTACAGATTCTAGTATGGCATGTACTGTTCAGTTATAACTAGCCAAAAATCTTTCTGGATTGGCTTAAAGTAGCTCTTTAAACCCCAGCCAGAGTTCAAACCTTGGAATGCTTACAACCCAGCATTTGCAATTCATGTGTACTTTGAAGCAAACTTGAAAAGGAGCAAGTAATATGTTCCTATGCAAAATACCCCTAATATAAAACAAAGTGACACTGGCAAGTCAAATTAAGGATGTGAGGAGTCAGATCGGTTTCACAACTTGGGCCTGCAAATTTTATTTCATCAAGCCTCTATTGGCACTAACTTTGATACAAGATGAGTCAGCACACAGACTTCCTTTTTTAAAATGAACCACAATTTGCATAATCTTTTAAAGCCAGGGAATTTGCACCAAAAAAAAAATTCTGCTCAGAAATTTGGAAAAAATTATGCAAGATATGAAAACTAGAACCTTGAAACTGTGGATTGAAACAATCCTATCCAGTCTAGAGACCATCTGATTGATCTGCTTGTGTCATAAATCTAAATTCCTTTGCTCAATTATCAATTCAGAGAGAACAGCATTTAAAAAAAAAAAGCTAATTTCTGTATCTCACAAAGTCAATGTGTTAGATGAATTAGAATTTAAAGAATTTCCTAACTGTAAGAGCAATACGACAGTGGAACCAGTTGCCAAGAGAGAGAGTGTGCTCTTCCATACTAGAGGCATTCAAGAAGAAAATAGAAAGTTGTCTGAGAAGTATGGTTTAACTGGCATCCTGTACCAGCAGGGGTTTGGACTCAGTGGCTTTCTTGGCCCAACCCTACTATTCTATGATTCTATGATATAGCTCCAAATCAATTGCCATGTATCGGCACAAGCTAGCAACTTTTTATCAGTGTATTAACATTAGAAATTTCATAGAGAAACTAGGTTAATTGAAGAGCCAAACGTATCTGAAAATGATAGAATGGTATATAAAAAGCTATTGTAAAATTTGGTTTTTCATTTTAGAATGATAAACATGTTTCTCAAAACTTCTATCTTATTTTGATAATAGTTAACATTGCTAGATGTCTACCTCTTACCATTTAACATTAGAAGATTGTCAGTTCCTGGATGTGGATAATTCAAACGACCTAAGGAAAATATATAAATGAGTTATTTTATTTGAAGAAGAAATGAAAGGGGCCAAAACAATTTAAAACATATACTATAAATTCCTGTCTGTTTTGCATCAGCACTGTCTCTTCAGTAGCCAACAATACCCTTAACCCAATGAAACCATGTTTCCTAACCTTAATTCTCTGGTCATAAAATCTGTGATGTGCTTTGAGATCAGTTTCAATAGGATAAAAGTCTCCTTAGTTTTAGGAAATCCAGAATTAGTACTGACTATTCCAAGTCTTGTTTTTCATCTACATTTGAAAATGGCTACCTGATTAACTCACTCTCATCTTTTAAATCTGCAATTCAAGCATTCAGTATGTTACATGCCTTTATTTCATAGAAATCTCTTAATAAACCTTGTAAAATGCATTTTCTATGAATATCTAATAGTATATTTTAGAATTCAAGTTATAAAGACTAGAAAATGTTAAGATAAAAACAGAAGACAGAATTTCTGGGATAATTTAGTTCTGAATACTTAGAACTACACAGCAAAACGTTTTCTATTCTATTAAAGAGATTTATGTTTTCAGCAACATACAATAGTGGCTTTGTTTCACTACAATATAAAGACTACATTTTACCTCAAACACACAGTAAATCCTCTATAATCCTCACTATAATCCTTACATATTTCAGCTTTTAGAATCGTTATTTCAAGATACTTGCTGACAAATATTAGAATCATTATTTTCAAGATACTTGCTGACAAATATCCATCATGCTGCACTGGGCATGTAGCGTTTAGCATATCAGCTTAACATATTAAACATTACTGAACAAAACAGGTGTCTTAAAAGTATGTGGATGTAATTTTTGTATTTTAAGACTACTAGACCTAATTAAAATGTTATATAAATTTCTCTCTTCCTTCTCTAAAAAGAAGCAACTCATGAGCTTGCAAAACAAAGTAGAAACCAGACAGTGAGGGCACCTTACTGAGTGAAACTAGTGTGCTGGCATACTGAAGTAAAGCTTGTGTCCTTATTTCAGAGCATTAAACTTCCGAAGACCCCAAATTGAACTGTTCTTTAACCCTTGAATTCTGACACTTTGATCTTGATTTTTGATGCTGACATATTGTTTTCAGAGTATCTGTAATTTTAGTAAACTAATTGCAAAGGACAATGCTGTGTAATGTTGTAATGATGGAGTGTTCCATTCACTGCATTTATTTATTATTCCATTATTTATTATTATATTTAAGAATCATTTGCACTATAAAGTATTTCTAAGGGACAACAGAGTAATTTCTAAAAATAAAATGCTGCATAAAATTTAGAAGGGGCATTAATGGGTCAACAAGGAAGACAAGAGCACCTATCTGGGAAAACTCGTTGGAACAAGTTTTCAGACAGGGCCCAAAACCAAGGAAGTTCAGTGCATATTTATAACTGTTGTTCACTACTCAGATACACATATCTTTTCTACTACTGGAGAATTGCAGAGTGTTCATCCTGTAATAGTAAAGGCTTTATTGCAGACCATCATGGACTAGATCTCCACTATCTGAGGTACTATCAGAAATAGATCAGCTGAGCAATGCAACTGAATAGGCTAGTAGGAAGCCAAGTATCCTGGTATTCAGTGTTTTAGGCTTGTAAGCAAGGACCAAACCCTTAAACCCTGCCCAGTAGCATATATGCACTTAGTGTCATTCCTTCAGCATAAATGTAACATACCAGCAATAAGCAGCTATAATTACCAAACTGTCTGCAGCATTCTATAAACACTGCAGCTTCCTGATGAACCGGCAAAACCACATAAAGTGCACTTCAGCAATCTGATGTTGAGGTTACCAATGCACGGCTTACAGTTGTTGATCTTTCAGTGTTTGGTGATAGCCTTCAATGAGCTGAAGCTTTTAAAATGAACTCCTAGTGATCAAAAACAACTATGCCTCCAGTGGCAGCACTGGATCAAGGAGCACCCTCAGTATATGCACCTGTTCCTTCAAGGAGTATTGCAACCCTATCCAGAAAAGATAAGCAAACCAATTCCTTTACATAGGGCCTCTGTCTTGCCATGATTCACACTTAGTTAATAGGTTGTCACCCAACTCTCCACTGTATCAAGACTCCTGGCCAAGGTCATCTCAGCTTTCCTAGTTTCAGATTTTAGAGAAATAGGCTGTCATCAACAATCTGCTGAAACCCTGCTCCAAATACTCCTTCCAACAGCTCCTTATACATATTAAATAACATTGTGGACAAGACAAAATCTTAAGAAATGCCACAGCCTAAACACCAGGGTTGATGAGTATTTCCCTAAAACTACTCTCTGAAATCACACTACAAACAAAAAAGGAAGAATGAAAAACAGTGTTTCCAATACCCATCTCACAAAATCAGACAAGGAAGATGTTATAGTTGATGTTATCAAAAATTGCTGAAAGATCCAATGAAGGTGACATGGTAGCACTTTGTCTATACCATTTCAGGTAAAGATCAGAGTGACCAAACCCAGTTCAGCCTCAAAAACAGGCCTGAACTCAGACTCTTATTGCTATCCTCCAAGAATATCTATAATTATCTGGTTGTGATTCTCTCAAGAAACATTTCATGATAATTTATTATTGTAGGGCAGCTGTTGAGTACAATTAGGTCCAAGGTTGGCACCTTAAAGAATGGTTGCACCACTGCCACTTTCAAGGTGACAGGTACCACCCTTTATCCAAAATGTGTTCACCACTCCCATGATACATCCAGACCAAGCTCCTCAATCCGGCAAAATGGGCAAGCACACAAATATTTTGTGACAAGACACCTACACCAATTGGAGTTGGTGTAACACATACTTCTGTCCCTCAACTCCAATTTTAGTTCAAGTATTTGTGGTCTTTATTCACTCAACAACCACAAAAGGGTGTTCTAATTTAAGTGGCACAGATATTGAGTTATTGATGAAAATTGGGAACTCTGGTGTTGAGAGGGCTTTGAGAAAGTTGCTGAGGTCAAATGATTAAAAAAACTCTCCTTGGCTCATTTAAGATTTACTGGTTCAGATCAACAGTTAATCTGTCAGTATGGATCCAATACAGGCAGTTCTCAGGTTATGAACGTCTCAGTTACGAACAACCAGTACTTGAACCTATTAAACCTATAAAGCCTATTAATTTTTAAAGATGAGTGGGGAAAATCATTATTACCATAGAGAGAAAGGAAGTGAAAGGAGAGAGAGGAAGGGCCTCCAAAGCATGCCTTCCTGCTCCATCTATCTGGAGGGAAATTTCTCCAGCATTTCCTTACTGCAAAGAGGATATGCTGGTGAGTTAGGGCACAGGAGGGTGGGCTAGAAATATTCGTGTTTTTTCAGTGTTCCTGGGGGTCCTGCATGCCTAATCCCTGCAAATGTGCAGGGCTGACTATATGTGATCCAACTGACATACAATCTTGACTTAAAGACAGGAACAAGTTGTTTTCTCAGGAATGGAACTCATTTGTAACCTGGGGACTGCCGGTATTCAGGCCTGGCCCAACCTAACTTGTTGCCTCAGACTTGCAAGACTTTGGTAAGCCTCTTGTGAGACTCTGGCCAGGTCTTATGAAATCTGGGTAGGTAGAACAGGGGCACGAGGAAGGCAGGCAGCTGTTCCAGAGTTCTCTGGGAGGTGCTGTCTTGCTGCAGTAAATGTCACAGCATAACAGCAGCTGCTGGAATTCTCAAGAACACCTACTGGAGGCGGGGTGGCCCTTCTGGCAGAACTAGAATGGGGCAATTTGCTGTTCTGTCCTCTCTACTACCTGAATTGTTTGCCTCAGTCTGAGTAAGGGGAAGGCCAGCCCTTTTAATAGTGATTACTCCCAGATATTTTTAAGCTCATAGGACACTAACAGGAAATTGTAAAGTAAAGCTTCTGAGAATTATATGAATTAGCAATAGCATTGCCCACCTCCTATGATTTTCTCAAACTCTGCTTTTGTGTCATAGTGTTTTCTACTACTACTAATATCACACAACCACAGATACATTATCTTTCTTGAAGTGATTTGTTAAAAAGGATTTGAAACTTACTTTTATTAATGGAGATGAAACAACAAGCTATTCCTCCCTTGTCACTCTGTTTTGTTGCTTTACCAAATCCTGATTAATATCATGACAAAACTGATATAATGCCTTTTCCAAAACATAGACACTTGTACTGCATATTTTAGACAGGGCTGCCTAAGAAGTTTTGTTGTTTGAAGGGAAAAACAAGTCCTACCCCATCTGCATGTGCAGAAGCCTACTGGATCTCACTTTAATGCACACACCAGAACAGTGCAGGTCCTGAGGACAGAAGTCTAGCTTAGTGGGATCCAGGGAGGTCATGTTTCTTACATTTCTGTCCTCTAACGTCATGCTGCCACTTCTTGCTCCCCAGAATCCCCTGTTCAAGGTGGCTACCTCACTCTTAAAAGTAAGGCTAGACCTGAATTTAAATGTACAAGTTTTAACATATACCCTTTTATTCTAGAAAACCTTTGACTATCAACTAATGCAACTAACCATCTGAACAATCAATAGTATTCTTTATAAGCTTGACAAATGTACTTCCTAATAATAAACTAAAAGCACAATTCTATGTGATTTTATGCAAAAGTAAGTCCTCCTGAGCTCGATCCCTAGTAAATGTATTTAGGTATGTAGCCTAATATATACAGGTAAGTTGCAATTCTATACAAATATACCTGGAAGTAAGTGTCACTGAGATCAGTGGGACATAGTTCTCAGCCATTACGTATTGGATTCTGTTGTAAAAGTATTTAAAAATGAACAAAAGGGAATAAGATGTTTAAGTAAACTCCAGACACTGTCAGCTGAAACATGTGGTTACAGTTCCACAAGCTTCATTCTACCATTGCAGTACTACATAAAATGTGTAGTATTTTGTTTTCACTCAGCTTGTATCTGGAAAACCATTAGGTTTTTTGTCAACACCACACTAACAGAGTTTTTATGCAATATTTGCATATATGGTAAAATCTCAGCCCTCTGTCTAGTGAATTTTCTTCTAGGAAATTAGTCTTTGACTTTGTTCCAGCTGCAATGAAGGTATGACACCAAGACAGATATTTAGCATTGCATGTTGTGGATAAAATTGCTTGCATTTGCTCTGATTTAGATGCCATGGTTCTGACAAGACTACAGCAGAGAAACAGACACCACCTGATTACTGAAATTGCTTGGATAACATTGGGAAGATACTTAGATGTTTGCTTTAACATTACTTACAGTGGTGAGAAGTGGCCTTTATATAAGACCAATATTAATGCACCCCTTTATTATGGCCAAAAAAGGTAATATTATGACCACTGTTGAGGAATGAAGTATTGCTGATGAAATAACTTTTTTAAAAAATAATGACTTCCAATTAGCCTTTTTTGAACAAGAGAATCATGATTATACAGCCTGATTGTAAGAAAACATATCTGAATTTATTACTTTATTGCATGATTGTCTAGTGTGAACATTCAATTTTCTCTGTAGTGATGAGAGCAAAAGAAGTGGTACTTCAAGCGCAAGTGTGTGTGGGAGGGGGTATTACATCTATGGCATTCCATCAGGTACAGTGGCTCCAACTGAGATGAGTTTCTGATCACATCCGTCATGCTCCTTCTCCTCTGCACAACTCCTTGCATGTACCAGAAGAAGTTCACATTGCAGATGATGTCTCATTTTGATACTGAGCAAGTGCACACTGTTGCTGTTTTCATTTTGATGACTACCACATGCCTCTTTGCTGCTAGGTTCCTTATTTTCTTCAATACTTGCTGAAAGCTCCCCACATTAGAGATGCTATTGAAGGATGTTACACTAGAAGAGGTCTGGAATTCTTTGAGTTCTTTGGTGGTGCACAATTCTCTGTTTGTTGCAGTAGTTACTAAAATAGGCAGATTTTTTATTTACTACTGCTCTATTACAGCCTTCTGTCTCTGATCACCTTACAGCCTTCACCATACTCTGTCCGTCCCCAGCTACTTGGGATCCTGGCCTCATCCTTTGGGTAAAACAGGCTCACTGTTGCAGAAATCCATAATAAGCAAACCTCCCCATTTTAAGCTTCCAAGTGAAGTTTAGAGTTTTGATGAGCCCACTGTTTTTACAAGTTTGGTCAGGTTAGTATATTATTCCAGGACTACATTCTCTGAACCCCTAGGCTTCTCTACTTGACTGATCCAGAATCTTCTTTGCCATCAACCTTTGTCATTTGCTTTAATGACCTGTTCTAATCTGTGAGTGAGATGGTGAGGCAGATCCAGAGTTTCTGCCTGAAGTTCTAGTTTCGGACCCTGCCAGAAGTGTTTGAATCACTTTCAGTGCTTTGGCTCCTATGATGGAATCATCTTTTTCTTCACGAATTACACTTGAAGAATTTATTTCCTCACTTATACCCTCTTCATCTTCTTCCTGAGACAAGGAGCTAGAAGACCAAGGCCTGTGGCTGATGCAAATAGAGATCTGATATTTTGATGATTATGATATTCTAATAGGTCCTATTTTGCTTCATTCAGTGTATGCTAACCACCATAAACTCCCAGTTCAACATATATGCTTTCCCCCACAACAATACAGCAGCACAGAATAAGCTCTGTTGTTGATTCTCAGTATAGAAACATACCTTTAAGAGGGTCCTGCTCAGCTCTCATTATATCAATAAGTGAATTTTCCAGTGAATGCATATTCAGACTGTCATACATTCTGTTTCGATCCTAGAAGAAAACAAATCATTAGCATTAGAGCTACAGCAAGAAAGGAGGAAGGGACAGTTTTTCTGGCAGTATAACTGATAATGTACAGATAACAATAACTGTTATAATGGTCTTCATTTACCTTTACAATCAGTCATTTTCATAAAATTCCTACTGAAACCACACTTCAACTATGAACAGTATCTGACAAGACACAAGTACTAAAGTAAGTTACATTACATTACTGTAAGCTACTCTAGCAAAACACTAGTAATATTAGCTGACACACTAGTATCCTTGGAATTCTAATGGTATTGCTTTAGAGTACATTGGTACCCTAACTCACAAACCTAATCCGTTCCATGACTGGTCGCGACCCAAATTGGTCGTGAGCCAAGTCAAATTTCCTCATAAGGTTCAATGTAAATAAGGTTAATCCATTCTGTAACCATTATTTTAATCACAAAAATTTGAAACAAAGTGACAAAGAACAACAAAGTAACAAAGAACAACCAAGATCACGGTCATCTCCCCTCCCCCGCACGACTGCGATCACACCCGTCTTCCCTGCACAAGCGCAACCCGATGCAGAGTTCGTGAGCTGAGGCAATTTTTTTTCTGAAATTTCTGTTTGCAACCCGATTTGGTGAACTGAGGTGTTCGTAAGCCGAAGTACCACTGCACTTAATGCAGGCATAACATATGTAAGGTTAACAGTTGTCACTGCTAGATGACCTGTGTGTCTCTCTGTGTATAAATCTCTCTGTGTGTGAATCATGGATATTTCTCAAGACATTGTCATAAATAAAATGTTATTACTCACTTAGAAAAGTGTCACTGAAATCAGTTTGACTTACAATGCTCTCTTTCCTTGATGGATGTAAGCCTATGAACATGGAGGCTTACAAACATCCAAAGCAATGTATGAAGTGCAGTAGCAGCAATATTCAATAACTAATTCCAGCTTTTTTAATCCAAAGTATATATTAATCCCATTGTGGACCATTAAGAAGCCCCTCTAATCTGGATGGGTTCAGGAACAGAGAACTGGGAAGCAGTTCATATCATCTCCATTCACTGTCCTTCAGAGGTGCCCCAATATAAAAATACTAGCCAGGAGTCATGTTACATCTGGTCTGCATGAGGAGAAGGCCCAATTCCTAGTGGACAGCAATATCCAATGATGTCTGAAAGTACATCTTTGTGTACATGTGTGTGTGTACATGTGTGTCTGTGTATTTTACTTGTGTTTTCGAGACACCAGAGACCGTATAAGAAGCAGGGGAAAGATTTTAAAAAGCAAGAGAAAGTATTTAACATTATATTAAATATTAACATTCCTTCAGTAGTTCATAGTTATTCCATCAAGACAGAAGTTAATTACTGTGTATTTCAATAATTGTGGAGCATCTGAGTGAAAGGCAGGCTATAAAGGTTTATAATAAATGATTAAGCTAAAAATCAATTACTGTATTTTTCCGTATACAAGATGCTACTTTTTCTTAAAAATATTTACTTAAAAATGGAGGTGCGTCTTATACATGGGGGGCCGTGGGTGCGCTCGGGGGGGGGAAGGAGACTGGCATGCGTGGGGGGGTGGCAGACACGGGCGGGGTGGCAGTGTGGGGGTGCAGTGTGGTGGCACGGGGGGGAGGGCGCCATGTTTGGGCGACGAAGTGGTGCACGCACACGGCAGCAGCTTGCTGGCTGGAGATGGGTAGGAAAAGTGGGGGGCGTCCTATACATGGGGGTATCTTGTAGATGGAAAAATACAGTATCAGTATTCAAGTTGACATTTCCAAAATAAGAGCGAATAACAAAATAGGAATATCTTCAAAATGGCAAAAGTGGAAAATGAACATGGGGATCACTTTCAGAAAATGTAATGGTATATAAACTATAATCCAACACTTGAGGTTGGATTATAGAGAATTGGTTTCTAATTTACACTCTTGAACACAACAGCAAAACTTTCTTGGATTCTAAGATTTTTAATATGGAAATGAATCAAAGGTGCATAAAGATATAGTTTTTCCTTCATGGTTCAACAAATGTCTAAACAAAAACTAGATACACATAAAGCTGACACATATTCAACCTAGGCAAGATTATTTCAGGATCCATTCCAATGCCAGCCCATTCACGTAAAATGTTATTACATAGATTCAAAGGGGGTGGGGGGGGGGAAGAGATCTGACAAGGCTTCAAATAACCAAACTTGACTTAAAATTCCACTTGTCATGAGGGCTCAGAGTCGTTAGCAGTGATTTTCCAGTCAGAGATTGAGTGTAAACCATTCTGCAGAGTATAGCAATAAAGGAAATATTTCATCACTCTTGCTTTTTTAAACACTGTCTAAACTTTCAACTTTTATGGTATTATCTGCTGTTCCCCATAATTGCTCCAATGTGATGCTACATCAAACACATGAGTTAATATACACTTGTCTTTTTTCAGTCAAAGGGACTTCTCAGAACTTGTATGCAAATTTTAGTTTTACATCACAGCCTAACCCTGAGCTGGTCATAAAATACGGAATGAGGCAGCTCTACAAACAGCTCTTGCCTTTGCCTCTGCTTCTGCCACAGCTTGTTGGTTTCAGACCCTTGCCTGTTCCTCACTCTGTCTTTGCTTGTAGACCTGCCATGACTTGCTGGTATCTGACTCTGTTCCTGGCTTTGCCTTTCCACCTCCCATGCACTGCAGCATTGTTGACCTTGCTTTGTTTTACTGGTACTGATCTCAGCAAGTATTCAGGCTTGCTTTTGCCTCTGTTCCTCTAACATCTTGCAAAGTTATGGAATGAGCTCCCTACTGAGGCCTGCTTGGCACCAACCCCAGTATCTTTCCAGTGGCAAGTTAAGATTGTCTTCTATTTCAAGGCAGTTAATTAGTTTATTGGGGCTTTGTTAACTGCTTAAACAGGTCTCAAGATTTTTGTTGAACCTATTGTAATGTTGATGTGTGTTTTAAATTTGGTTTTAAATTTGTGTATAGTAACCTTTTTATGATATTCTTAATGCTATTCATATTTTATAATATAGTTTCTGTGTTGATGTAAACCACCCAGAGAGCTTTAGCTATTGGGTGGTACAGAAATTGAAATGATCATACAAGAGTTTCACTTGAATATCCAGAATACTGAAGAAGTTGAAGGCCAAAATACAGTGGTACCTCGGCTCACGAACGCCTCAGTTCACAACCAAATTGGGTTGCGAACAAAAATTTCATAAAAATTTTGACTCAGGTTGTGAACTCCGCATTGGGTGGTGACCGTGATCGCGGCCATCTCCCCACCCACCCACCCTCCAAGTGGGAAGATGGCCATGATTGTGGTCACGCTCATGCAGGGAAGACAGGCACGATCACGGTTGTGCTCGGGATGGGGTCGGGAGATGGCCAAGATCACACCTGTCTTTCCTGCACGAGCACACCCTTGCTCACGCTCGTCTTTCCTGCATGAGCGCAACCGCAATCATGCTGGGTGGGGTGGGGAAGATGGCCACATTCGTGCTCGGGTGATCTTTGTTGTTGTCACTTTGATTCAAATTTTTCTGATTAAAAAAAAAAAATAGTTACAGAACAGATTAACCTTATTTACATTGAACCTTATGGGGAAATTTGACTTGGCTCGTGACCAATTTGGGTCACGACCAGAGTCGTGGAATGGATTAAGTTTGTGAGCCAAGGTACCACTGTATGCAGAAAAAGATACAGCCAATTACCTTTTCAAAAGTAGATACTAAAGGCATCAATCTAGAAATCACTAAGGAACAAATCCTGCTGAAAACTAGGATTCACTTCTGAGAAAACACACTTATCATTGAAAATTAATCAGTGTCCAAATACACTAAGAATTCACAGAAGCATAATGGTTTTGAATATTCATATGAACAAAAGCAAGCTTATGTGGGGATTCCTTGGTGATATACTTCCTTGGTGATATACTTCTGTACTGTTTGCAGACATTTATACAATGATTACACATAACATTGTTTTTCCTCCAAAGAAAGAATATTTTTGGTGATGTCAAATTGGGTTATCCCAGAGTACTTCCTGGTTCTTCTACTCCTGCACTCCAGTGCAAAAAGGTATAATTTCAATAGTAGAGCAGTAGAACCCAGTGAAGGAAAACTGAAGGGATCTACCTCTGTAATATTCTAGCCTTTTCCCTGTTTCTTCAGATGAATAGTACTATTCTGTTTTAGGAGTTTATGCTCATGTTCTTCAAGAGTGAGAACAGTTCAGGAGTTAAGAAGCATTAACTTCAGACCCATGGAGGTCCCTCATGCTGCTTGGAGCCCCCCCCATCCCCCCCCCACCCCCCACATTCCAGATCCAAACAATAGCACAGGTATGATTGTGGTGAGTTCTCTCAAGGCTGCCAGCCCAGACTGCTTTCTTTCTGAGGCTCAGAAGCTGAGTGCCTTTGTGTTCATTGGCAGGAGTGGGTGGAGAATATTGGGGAGAGTTTGTTGGCTCAAGTGTAAGAGGCTCAGCTTGCCAATTCCAAGAAAGAAGGAAGGGGGGGTCAGGGAGGTCAAATGGGAGGGTTTCTGGGCAGGAGAAACAGGGAAGAAAGGGATGAGCCACCCTGGAGTGGTCATTATGCTTGAGCTGTGATGGTAGTAGAAGCTGGAGAAGGAGGTCCCTGGGTTTTGTGTCAAAGTTCTCATGTAGCCCTCAAGGTACAAAAGATGGATATCCCTGCCTTAGACAGTGTTTAGAAGCCACAGGACTTTTTAGAGTCCCAGGTCTGATGTCAGAAAATTGCTCTGATGTCTGTGCTACCACTCCACACATGGAACCCTCCCTGTAGCATGCACAGAAAAGGACTATGCTGACTGATTCTGTGTGGCTGCAAATGAAATACTGGGGAAAGGGTTTAACAGGCATTCCAGGAGGTGGAGACTAGAGGATAAGTGTGTTACCAGGTATTACCTTTCCTCCCACACTGAAGCGCTATAGTTAAACAGGCAAAATCAGTTGTCCAGCTGTTTCACAGGCAAAAGGAGTGCAGA